TCGACTCGGGTGCTTCGAGCCACAGGGTGTACCATCTCGGCAGCAAGAGTATTCTTCAGGAGGGGATTTATGCCCTCTGGTGCCTTGCCGCATGCAATAAGAACGCCAATTCTGATCTTTTACCTCTGGTGCGGTACAACTGACCCCTTTTAGGTCTTTCTTACAAAGGCCTTCTATGATCTCTGCCACAAATGGGCTCGGCTTGTTTGTATGGTAGCAGTAATAGTCTGGGTGAATGCCCTTTGAGAAAATTTCCCACCACTCTTTAGATTCCAATCGGATTTCCCCTCTAGTCACTTTACAGGTCAGTACCCAAGCTGTAATCTCTCTTTGTACGTTCCAACAGGAATTGCAAGTTCCTCATGGAGGATACCCTCTGTTGCAATGTGACCACCACCGTTCCCCACACACCTTACAGATATAGCATACAAAAGGATAGCAATTACAATTTTGATTTTTACACTTTACTCTAACACTTGAATTACTAATTAGTCCACTATCTAAGTAATATAAGTCTGATGTGTATTCAATCTGATAAGAGTCCATTAGTTTCTCTGTAACTTCAATTTCAGGTTCCCGGGAGGACTGGTTACTTGCCACACAGTGTTGTTAACTGGTCCTTTTACTCGACTGGCATGTGTCCATCCTCTTTCTGCAGTCCGAATTGCAGTTTCTGTAGTGAGTAACACAAGATAAGGACCTTCCCATTGTGGGGTTAGTGTAGATTCTTTCCAGGATTTTATTAACACATAGTCTCCTGGATGTATTTTATGTATTTTTAAATCTAAAGGGGGTCTTTGCGTAATGATTCCTTTTTCCCAAAGTTCATTGCGGCGTTTCATTAAGGCAATAATATATGAGGTTATTTTATAGTCCTTCAACCGGGGGTGGTCTTGGGGTTCCTCCAAATCATATGGCATCCCGTATAGCATTTCAAAAGAGGAAATCCCAACATCTGCTCTGGGTCTTGTTCTTATGTACAATAGGGCTAAAGGGAGACACTTGACCCATGTCAATTTTGTTTCTATTATTAATTTGGTTAATTGCTTTTTTAGTTCCCCATTCATTCTTTCCACTCTTCACGAACTTTGGGGATGCCATGGGGTATGGTATTCCCACTTAATTCCCAGAGCATGTGAGATATCCTCAGTTATTTTGGACACAAAGTGGGGTCCCCTATCAGAATCTATTGTTTCTACTATCCCATATCTAGGGATTATTTCTTCTAATAATATTCTGACCACTGTCTGAGCAGTAGTCCGAGTAGTGGGGTAAGCTTCTACAAAATGGGTGAGATGATCTACTATTACTAACAAATATTTATATCTACCTACTTTAGGCAATTCAGTGAAGTCTATTTGTATTTTGGCAAAAGGCCTGTGAGCTAATTCCCTTCCTCCCATGGG